GCGCGATGGGGGTCTGCCAGACGGATGGCTCACACCGCCCATGCCGAACGAGCTGAAATTGGCCAGCGCCTCGACGTGTCGCTTGCCCGCGATGACCCACCCGATGCGGATGCCTGGACACTGCAGGCCCTTGGTGCACGCGCCCGTGATGAACACGTTGCTCGTCTCCAGGTTTGACACGTACTTCATAGCCGACACGGCGGGGTTGTGGTACATCTCGTACGCCTCGTCCAGCAGGATGCCGCTCTGGTCCTGTTCCGCCAACTGCACCAACTCCCTCAATTCGTCCCCCGCGCGAGTGTGGCCCGTCGGGTTGCCCGGATTGCTGATGATAGGGAACAGGGTCGTCTTGGCGTTGAGCCCAGAGCGACGGAAATAGTCCATGTTGGAGGGGCGGAACCCGTTTTCGCGCGTGCACGGCACCACGCTCCATTCTGTTTTGGTGGCCGTCATTATGTCGAGGTAGGCTGGCCACTCGGTGTTGGAGATGCGCACCTGCACGTGGTCCTTCAGGAACGCCAGCACTGTGAATATGCCTGGACGACCCCCTGCAAAGATCATCACGTTTCCCTCGTCGATCGTGGTGCCGTGCTCGTTGTTTTCGCCCCCATAATACTTGTTGTAGTATGCAGCGATGGTCCTCTGCAGCTCTGGGTGCCCCCACGCCTTGGGGTAGAATCGGTCCTCCCACGTCACGTCAACGCTTGCGGGGAGCTCGGGCCCGTCGAACCGGTCGAGGGTCGTCGTCAGGGGAAAACCCTGACTCCACGGGTGGCTTCCAGGCGTGCCCATAAAACCGCCCCACGTGTCCTTGAACGCGTACAGCGTCTCGTAGATGCCCATGGGCGGCAAATTCCCGTCCAAAACAGACTCCTGCGGCTTGGGTGCGGCCGAGCTTGAACTATAACAACAACGTCTACATCTCGCGCTGACTGGAATCGCGATGACCTCTCCAACTCTTGACTGTCGCGCAAGCCGCGGAAGAGCCGCTGCCAGCATGAAGACGACCCTTGCGTCCACGACGGGGCTCGGCTCACGTGGTCGGCGAGCAGGCTGGCAGAAAAGAGCCAAAACGCCTGATTCCGAAGGCGACGAAGGACGCAGAGGGAAAGAGGGATATTCAAGAATACGATTCTAACGTTGCGGCTGCTGGCCGCTAAAGAGCAATCCATAGCTGCGGGCTCCGGCTCTCCTGGATATCAAATCGCCATTGAACGCCGCTCAGGACACCACATCCCTCCTCATCTCCCACATCCTCCCCAAAATACTCTTCCTCCTGTTCCTGTTCCTGTTCCTGTTCCTGTTCAAACTCATGTTCCTCCTCCTCCTCCTCCTCCTTCTCCTCCTCCTCCTCCTCCTCCTCGTCCTCGTAAGATCTCGAAGAACACCCGGCCCTGCCGAAGGGAAGCCCAACGACGGAAGGGCTCGAGCTGTCGGAAACGCACCGGTCTCGAGGCTCGAGGACGAAGCGGGTATGGCCACCTGGCATTTGTAACTGGAACGAGCTTCTTAGCGTCTGGAGTGGCATGGTGGCATAAGGAAGAGTACTGCACACAGACACCAATCTTCGCCTGGCCCATCCTGAGCACATGATCGATGCACACGCCCTCCCGGCTGGGCCAGGGAGGCATGCACACCGATGCTGGGACCAGGATGAGCTGGCCGGGATCGTTTCGGTGTGCTCAGTTCTCTTCACCCGAGGTGGAGGATTATGAAGGGGCCCTGGGACACACAAGTTCGCCGACCAACGGGGCCAGAGGCTAGTTCGCGCGCGCGGGGCGGCTTCTGGGGGCTCCCGGACGAAAACTACCACGAGCAGGTCCAGGCCGGTGTGGCTATGGTTTTCCTCCTCGGCGCTGCCTTCCACGCCTCCCAAAGCGCTCCAGGAACGCGCCAAGAAGGCTCCGAGACGCCCGCGAGACGGTCCAAGGGGCCCCGAGTCGCCGAAACATTGCTCCAAGACGCCCATGCTGGTCTCCAGACGGCCCTAGACGCCGCCGAGAAGCTCCAAGAGCGCCTCAAAGACCCTCCAAGAGGGCCCCAACAAGCAACAATCGTTCCATTTCCTTTGCAAAGCGTACATTCCTGGCATACGACGTTCGGAGGTTCACATCGTCCAAGATTGCCCCAAATCCCCCCAAGATCGCCCCAATGTGCCCAACATGCCCCCAAGATGCGCCCAAGAGGGCCCAAGAGGGCTCCAAGACGACCCAAGGAGGCTGCCGTCCAGGCCTCCCGAAGCGCTCCGGGAACGCGCCAAGAAGGCTCCGAGACGCCCCCGAGACGGTCCAAGGGGCCCCGAGTCGCCGAAAGATTGCTCCAAGACGCCCATGCTAGTTTCCAGACGGCCCTAGACGCCGCCGAGAAGCTCCAAGAGAACCTCAAGAGGCCCTCCAAGAGGGTCCCAACAAGCAAAAACCTTCCCATTTCATTTGGAAAATGTGCATTTCTGACATAGACGACGTTCGGAGGTTCACAGCGTCCAAGACTGCCCGGGAGCCTTCCAAGATCGCCCCAAGATGGCCCAACATGCCCCCAAGATACGCCCAAGAGGGCCCAAGAGGGCCCCAAAACAGCTCATGAGGGCGGCCTTCCAGGCCTCCCAAAGCGCTCCAGGAACGCGCCAAGAAGGCTCCGAGACGCCCCCGAGACGGTCCAAGGGGCCCCGAGTCGCCGAAAGATTGCTCCAAGGCGCCCATGCTGGTCTCCAGACGGCCCTAGACGCCGCCGAGAAGCTCCAAGAGAACCCCAAGAGGCCCTCCAAGAGAGCCCCAAGAAGCAAAAAACGTTTCATTCCCTTTGGACAACGTGCATTTCTGACATAGACGACGTTCGGAGGTTCACAGCGTCCAAGACTGCCCGGG